TTCCTTTAAAATGAAAAATAATAATTAGTAAAATAGTCTCAATTTCAAACTGTATCTTATATGTCAGAAAAACAGCTCACAGATTATATTGAAGAATCTGAACTGTACTCCCAAACTATAGATTAGCTAGAAATGTTTGGCAAATTTTATGTCACAATACTCAGAACAATATAGCTATCATATTGGCTTCCTAGTCCCTTTGCCTTTATACTTTGTAATTTCAAGTCCCACTTGAAATTAAGAGCCAGAGATAAGAATAGCAAATAACACTGCAATGGTCGGTCTCTTTTTCTCTCAACCTTTATTATGAAAAGCTTTAACATATAGAAGGCATAGCAAAGTGAATCAACTTATTCCCAGCTTTAACAGTTGTCAAGATTTTGCTACTCATTTCAGCTATTTCCCTTCCTGACACATTTTTTTCCTATGCTTTTAAAAAATAAATTCTATTGGTTGTTATTTTAACTGTAAATACTTCTGTATATTTCTCTGACAAGCTTTTTTTCAACATACCCACCATGTTGTTATCATCTGCTTTTTTTATTATTCTTATATTAGTCATAATTTATCACTATCATGAAATTCTCTATATTCATATTTTCCCAGTTGTCTCAAAATCATCTTTTTATGATTTTGTTAGAATAATTTGTTATTCTAACAAATTTGTTTGTTAGGATAATTTGTTAGAATCAGGACCCAAACAAAATCCATATTACATTTGGTTGTTATGTTACATTTTAAAATGTAAATATTAGAAATTCCTAATGCCAAAAAAAAAGACTGCAATTTTGGATGACATTTTTGTTTTCTTCTTATAAAATTATATAAGTTCATTGTATGAAAAGTTAAAAATTCATAAAATACTAAGAAGAAAGTGGAAATCACTTATATTGCTCAGAGTATATTTCCTTCCTATCATTTTTTACATTATTTTCATAGTTGAGATCTATTGGAAGCCGTTTTATATCTTATTTCAAAGTATATCTGAAGCTTTCTATACTTAAAAATTTTTTTTCCATTTTAATGGCTGCATTAAGACGTACCTTAATTTTTTAGAACAGGTAAGTACCTTAATTTTTTTTAGGGGCCATATCTAATTTAGAATGCCATTTTACAGTGTACTCCAACACATTTTCTTGTTGCTACGGTTGAAGAGACTCGTATTTTTGAGTAAGGGGTCTAATTTTCCTAATTAATTCCTAGAGTAGGTGAAATGGGCTGGTCGATGCACTGTTTTCTCTGTATGTAGCAGATAATGCCTGGATCTTGGTCTATTGGCCGTTTGAGAGAGATGTTTGTTTTGCCATATGGAGGACAAGTAATGCCCCTAGTGGGCCATTTTAGTAAGTTTATATAAAGTCCAATTTTATATAATTTCTTTAAAATATCATTGAATATATCTGAGTATATGATGCATTAATTTCTCCAAACATTATCAAGGGAAAGAAAGGTATTAAATTCAACTATTGGCAGGACTTTGGGCATCAGGGAAAGTTTGGAAAAGGTTGCACCTACCTTAGCTGCTATAGGTTGAAGTCATCAAAGAACTCCAAAAGATCAAAGTAGACTTGAAATAGACATAAGTTATGCAAAAATAGTGATTCTTAGGTGTGTACTTTTATGAATATATCCATTTTGTAGGGGTGTTATAACAAATCACCACTAAGTGTGTGGCTTAGTATAACAGATATTTATTCTTTCACAATTCTGGAGGCTAGATGTTTTTAAAATCAAGGTGTCAGGCAGGGCCATGCTCCCTCTGAAGTTTTCTGGGAAGAATCCATCCTTGCCTTTTCCTGGCTTCTGGCAGTTCCTGGCAGTCCTTGGCGTTTTTGGCTTCTCTCCTCTGTCTTCACATGGCATTATTCCCTGGGTGGATCTCTTCCTTAATTCTGTGTCTCTTCTTATAAGGACATCAGTGATTGGATATAGGACCTACCCTAATCCAGTATGACCTCATTTTACCTAATTACATCTGCAAAGACTGTATTTCCAAGTAAGGTCACAATCTGAGGTTCCTGGTGGATGTAAATATTGTGAGGACACTGTTCAGCCCAGTATAGCAGGTGTGGGTATTTGTGTATATGAGTAGATTGGGAACTGGGGGGCTATCGTAAGTTCTTAGATAATACACATTATAATTCTCTTCTCCATTGTTGATTTCTGCTTTTTCTTAAGTGTATTAAGTATAAGAATACATGAATGTGGGGGAAATGTTGAAAACAGTACTAAAACAGTAATTTAAAATTCTGTGTTGAATAATTATTCTCTGCTGCTGTTCCTTGAGATTAAAAGATAAAAACAATTTCATGAAGTCTTGTCTATTTATGGTTTTAGAATCCTAAATTTATAACCAGGACCCAAAGTTTCTTATTTACTAAAAGCATTTGAGCAGAGCGTTATAATGATTATTTCAGTCCTTCTAAGAAAATAATTTGGCTTAGGCAAAAGGTTATGAAATACTTGAATAATTTACTAAAAATTCTAGACTATCTTTCACTGAGTTTATTAAAAAATAGGTTGAAATTAGACTGTTCTTCCATATCCATCCACCATTATCACCACCCCCAAGATGGCACCAAGGAGTTAGCTAATATATGTCCCCATAAACCCATATCTTTAGATTGTTTTATTAATTTTGATGCAAGTACATAATGTTTGCAGAAATTGATTTTTATAGGGATTTATAATAAAATATCAGTTAAAAGATTAATTGCCTCACTTCTGGGCCTTTGGTTTCTGTAGTAATCAGTATAGTAAAATTTTTATTTAAAAAATTCACTTGAAGTTTTCCATTTATACTCTGTAAAAGCAAATTGAATGCCTATTGTTATCCATAAATATCTTAACTGCTAAGATTTTCTAAGATTGTAATAGAAAACCAATTATATCAGAAAGTCATTAAGTAACTTAGAGAAATTTAACAATGTTAATAAAACATGAATTTATGACTTTTGGCTTATTTTCTTAGATAAAGCTCTCGGTCATTTTGCACTTTTTAAATTAGAAGAAAAATTTTAAACTTTATCCATGCCTTCTCTTTTACAAATCAAAACATCTTATAGCTCTCATCTGCTTATTATTCTTATAAATTTATAATGGGCATATATGATTATGAGATAAAATAAGGTACATCATATCTTACTATCAGAAACTAACTTTTTAAACCAAAGTTAGAGATTTAGAATGGAACTCAAGGCAGTGTAAATATGTAACTTATTTTTCTGAAAGGACTCTTGTAGCCTTCTGTTTAGAGCTTCTTTTGGGTCTTAAACTAGAATGTTCCATGTTTACTCATTCACTAAACTAATTATTTAGGTGTAGTATGTGGTGTTATACATGCACTGTGCAAAGCACTGAGCTGGAGTGGGTAAATCTGCAAATATATATGTTTATATTTCTCCGTTCATTCAATAAATATTTATTGAGTATTTGCTGTATGCAAGGTACAATATCAGGAACTTCTTGATACAAAGTTAAACAAAACAGCCACTGTCTTTGTACTACTTACAGTCTTAGAAAAGGAGAAGGACATTAATCAGATAATAACACAAATAAATGTAAACTTATCACCATGAAAAATACTATGAAGAAAAGGTAAATGGTACTATCAGAGCTCATAAGGGAATTTGACTTAGTCTTTGGAGGGGCTATGCAAGGGCTCAAAGACTTACCTGAGGAAATGACTTTTGAAGTGAGAGCCAGATGATTATTGGAAATTATGTAAGTGAAGGAGGATGTGAGAAAATTCCAGGAAGCAGAAATTATATATAATAGCGAGTAGTGAGTGCGAGTTATTTGAAATGAAAGGAGGCAGTGCAGCTGGAACACGGAACCAGACGGAGTGTGATGCACGATGCAGCAGGAGAGCCAGCGGCAGGGGCCAGACCAATTTACCTATACTGGTCTGGCCAGTAGTACATACTCAATTTTATTTATATGTAGTCACCAAATTCCATATTTTATTTTGGTTTCACCAACATAAGCTGTTCAGGTACCTTTATTTCTTGTTTCTTATTACTATGTAAAGTTCTTGAATTACTTGCTTTATTTACAAGATAATAGAATATCTTATAGCAGATGTAAATATTCAAAACCAATGATACTGCTATAGAAAAATCATATCTTATGTTTACCATTAAACACTGATTCTACCTGAACCAAATAGCACATTTAGAATTCATATGTTGATTAGCAATATCACGTACAGCAGTTTCACTTGTTGATCTTAGAATGCTAAGTTGACTAGCTTTTGTCTTATATAAATAAGGTTGAAACTGGTATATTATAGTGCCCAAAAAGCCGAATATTTTATATATAATATACTGGTATAAATGAATTTAAATTTATGTGGTGGCAGGCATTAACTTCCTCCTGATGTTTTGATGTTTTAAAATATTTAAATAAATGTTTAAAAATTAATATGAAGAATGATTATAAAATTATGCTTATTTCATGTGCAGTTTGTGTGATCTGTTTTAATATTTTATAGTTTGTGGCTTCTGTGTCATCAGAAGTTTGAAAAGATTCTTAAAATGTAGTCGGATTGCATCTTCATTTCAAAATTCACTGAAACGATATGTAATGCTTATGTAAGAGCAGCTAATGATGTAGTGATGAGATTTTAGCCCTTTTAAAACCCGTAATCCTATATAATTTCACCCTTATTCAAAAAGAATTTGATGTAGGTAGTTTCAACACTGTAACATTCATGAATTATTGATTTACAGTGAACGTTTACATTGTACTAGTGAACTCATGTAAGCTTTTCTAACCTATGGGATATTTGTTTTGCAGGAGAAAATAGAAATTCTGTATTCACAACTTGAAATGCAATTTCCCATTAATATTAATTCTTTCATCGATTGTTACCACAAAATTGGCTAAAATTAATACTCTTCTGTCATAATAGATCAAGGTGATTTACATTTAGTTTTCTTTGTCTTTTTTGTTTGTTTTGTTTTATTCCCTCCACTCCCATTTATTTCATGGCATATCAGTGCTTCAGAGAATTTAGATGAGCTCTCTTCCTCCAGTAGCTGGTTACTTAACCAGAAGCACAGTAAGAAAAGGAGAAAAGACAGGACAAGATTGAAATCTCCATCCTTGACTATCATGAGTACAGCAGCTCGAACAAGGCCACTTCAGAGTTTCCACAAACGAAAACTCTACAGATTGAGCCCTGCTTTTTATTGGACTCCGCAGGTAAGGTCGCCTTTGGCAAAACATGAACAAAGATTTTACTGTCAATATATTTCACAGGTTAGAGGATATGAACTGTACATAGTTGTTTAGAATAAGTGGGATTTAATAATTTTTAAACATAGTGTATTCTGAAACTTCTCACATTTCCATTTTTTTAAATCACTATTATGCTTAAACTAGTTTGAAAGAAATGTACATATCAAGTTGATTTTAAAATTTTACTGGTAAGGGTAACAAGGAAAACACAAGTGTATTATATATTTGCCTTTTGCTTAATAAAGAAAAAAGTAACAACCTGCAGGGCTTTCAGTTATTTTGGAGGAAATGACATTGCTCTCCCTTTTATGTTTGGTATTTGTTAAACCTGGTGGGCACTCCTTTTTCATATAAGCAATGAAGTTTTAGATGACCATGCTTACCCTTTTTGCAAGTAAAATATGCTTCATTAAAAGCGTTCATTTTGAAAAGCATATTTTTCATTTGTTAGCAACATGTTAGGTATGCATCTTTCAGTGCATAGCTAAATAAGCTGTGACAGAGGGCAAAATTATCTCTAGTCCTCATGGTATAATGTGCTTTTTTTCTCTAATATTTTTTATATGCCAATATGAAATATTTATTGTGGGAATGAATAATAATGGTGATGATTTGGGAAAATCTGGGAAATGTTTGATCAAGTTTATTTATTTATGCCTTATTTTACAATATATATATATTTTTTAGCATCTTTATTGGAGTATAATTGCTTTACAATGTTGTGTTAGTTTCTGCTTTATAACAAAGTGAATCAGTTATACATATGTTCCCATATCTCTTCCCTCTTGCATCTCCCTCCCTCCCACCCTCCCTATCCCACCCCTCTAGGTGGTCACAAACCACCTAGCTGATCTCCCTGTGCTATGCAGCTACTTCCCACTAGCTATCTATTTTAAATAATATGTCAAAGGAAAGAAATTATCCTTGATTTAATATTGTTTTTGATTATTACTACACTAACTATTTTTAAATATATTTCTATAAAAAAATCAAGATGCTTTGTTTCATTAGGAACCAATTTCAAATTTGGTTTTATAGGATCCTTTTATAAATAGGAACGTGAATTCTGACAAATTAATTTTTATTAATAGATTGATTTTTGCCATTTAGTAGTTCAGGTATTAGTAGTATGCTTTCCCAACTTGAAATTTTTAAGAAAGTTTTATTTCAGAATTTTAAGAAATTTTACATATTTAATAAACCTAATAGGAAAATATTTTATTAAAGTTTTTATATAAGAAATTATTTTTTATTTAAAGTTACTACAAGCAATAGAGAAATAATATATTTGAAAATGATTTCATAATTTCATAGTTATAAATAGAATTGTCTATCAAAAATATCTCACATTTGAATATGCCTTAATATTCTGACTGGAAGGAATCTATCTGAATAATTTAGGGGATTTGCTCAATATTACTAAAGTACTGCATATGCCTTGATAATATAAAGATTGGCCTGGAAAAGTGTGAACAAATTTAAAACTTTCAGCAAACAAAGGAAGAAACATGTCTAACATTGTTACTAGTAGACCATATAATTTACCATATTCCAGTCATAATGCTAAGCATTTTCAGTACATTATTTTATTTAGTCCTCAAACATAAAGCTATGAGGCATTATCAATCCCACCTTTAGATGCAGAAATTGAAGTTTAGGGAGATTAAGTAACTTTCCCAAGGTCATACAGCTAGTAAACAATAAGTCTGATTCCGAAGCCATGTTCTTATCCATTAGTACATTGATAACAACAAAAATAAACCAAATCTTTTTTTAATCAATATTTTCTATTGAAGTTGATCTACAGTATTGTGTTAATTTCTGCTGTACAGCAAAGTGATTCAGTTATATATATATATATATATATACACATTCTTTTTTTAATATTCTTTTCCATTATGGTTGTCATAGGATATTAAATAGAGTTCTCTGTGCTATATACTAGGACCTTGTTGTTTATCTATTCTCTGTATAAAAGCTTACATCTGCTAACCCCAACCTCCCACTCCATCCCTGCCCCAACCCCCTCCCCCTTGGCAACCACCAGTCTGTTCTCTATGTCCATGATTCTATTTCTGTTTTCATGGGTAGGTTCATCTGTGTCATATTTTAGATTCCACATATAAGTGATATCATATGGTGTTTGTCTTTCTCTTTCTGACTTACTTCACTTAGTATGATTATCTCTAGTTGCATCCATGTTGCTGCAAATGGCATTATTTCATTCTTTTTTATGTATGAGTAGTATTCCATTGTATATATGTACCACATCTTCTTTATCCATTCATCTGCTGATGGATATTTAGGTTGTTTCCGTGTCTTGGCTATTGTGAATAGCGCTGCTGTGAACACAAGGGTGCATGTATCTTTTTGAATTATAGTTTTGTCTGGATATATGCCCATGAGTGGGATTGCTGGATCATATGGTAATTCTATTTTTAGTTTTCTGAGGAATCTCCATACTGTTTTCCACAGTGGCTAAACCAAATCTTTTATGTGCTTGAAATCAGTAAAGACTGTATATTTGGGAATGGGGGAAGGAGCTTTATCTGGTTAGAGGCATTTAGAAATGCACCATAAAAGATGGGTTTGGAAAGATAAACAGAATATTGAAAGGGTTTAGGGGGGAGATTAAAAAAAGCACTTTAGTCATTGTAACAGAGGTGGGAAAAAATGATGGAGAACAGCAAATGGCCCCACCCCCAACTTATCCCCCAAATTTCCAGGGTAATAGTTATTTACCTTTCTAAATTTAATAAATGTCATTTCTCTCAGGAAGCCTTCCTTGATATTCCCACTATGGGGTATATAATGATGTAGCACCCTGTGTTATAATAATAATCCATTATTTTATAATAATGTTCCATTTATTTTTCTGTCTTCTCATTACATTGCAAGTTTTTTGAGAACAGGAACTGTGTATTTCTGAACCTACAGGGTCTTGAACAGTAACTGTCCAACAGTATATGCTCAATAAATAATTAATATGTGAAAGAATTATTGTAGTGGAATGTAGAAAGATATTTAAAAGGCAATGGAGAGTGAGAATTTGTGTGTGTGTGTGTGTGTGTGTGTGTGTGTTTCCTTGATTTGCTTTGTGAAAGGGTCTAGAACAGTAATATCTAATAGAACTTCTGTAATGACGAAAATGCTCTATAAATATCTGTGCTGTCCAATATGGTAGCTACTAAATACATGTAACTATCGACCACGTGAAATGTGACTAGTGCAGCTGAGGAACTGAATTTTTATTTTTATTAATTTTGATTTAAATGGCCACATTTGGATAATGGCTACCAAATTGGATATGACAAGTCTACACTCAAACTTACCATGATAGCAGTGAGAACATGTGGCACTCATTCTTGTTTTCTAATACTATTCCTTACTGAAAGGAAATATAGATCTTTGGAGAAGTGTCTGATCTCCAGGGTTGGGGAAGAGGGGCTATAAAATGGGCCTGGAACGTCTTATTGTTACCAGAAGGCAAGGAAGTGTTTAAAAAAATGATGGGGGCATGTCAAAAAAAAAAACCCAAGAGCTTGTTTGGAAAGGTTTCCACTGGCCAAATCTGGGGCTCTTTGAGCACTGAAATAGCTAAGGACAGTAATTAACCCAGTGAAAATATAGGTAGCCATGAGTGTATCCTGATGAGAGAGAGAGAGAGAGAGATTAAAAGGAGAAAGGGAAGACTTTTGCATAGAGTAGGATACTGATTAATAAATGTGGAGTGAGCAGTCAAATTAGAGAATCATTGCAATAATCATAGTAAAGATTGACTGGGTAAGAAGCATCAATGCATGAAAAGTCTGGGGTCAGGATTGGGGAAAAGTTTGATGAGGAGCAGGATATTGATATTGTCTTAACTATATGGTAGAGAACCAGACAATAACCTTGCCTGAGTGATCAAAACTAACGTAGCCTATGTCTGTTCAGAGAAGGGAACAGCCGAGAACAGTGACCTCCAGGTCCCAGGGTCCCTGTGGCACAGGCCATGCTGTGCAGGGGCTGGAGGAGAGGGCCCTAGTTGTGTGGGTTTGCCCCGGACTCAGCAGGAGGTAGTAGAGGTCAGCGCCAAACAGGCTGGGCTGGAGCAGCAGAAGGACAGGGGAGGAGCCAGCACTCCTGAGACCCACCAAGGCCTTGAATGACACTGATGTGAGAAACACAGCAACCAAAGACAATGTGTGGACTTGGTTTGGGTCTTCATTTGAACAAGAACCCTGAAAAGACATTTTTGAGATCATTGGGAAAAATTGACCACAGCTGATGATTAGATGATGTTCAGGAATAATTGATAATTTTGTTGGTGTGATAATGATATTGTGGTTATGTGAGGAAAAGGCCTTATTTTTAAGAGATGCATTCAGTAGTGAAATGGGTAACAGGACAATGTTAAGAATTTGCTTGAAAATATCAGAGCAAAGCAATGAAGTGAAGGAAAGAAAGGGAGAAGAGGATGGATGAAGTGAGAACAGTAAAAGGTTAATTTGGAGAGGTAGGTACATAAGGGATCACTATATTATTCTCCCTCCTTTTGCGTATGTTTAAAAACTTGAACAATAAAAATAAAAAAACTAATGTAGCCTATTAGAAAGATACAATATCACTATGTAGTATTCTGAGCAGACATACATAACCTGAATTTAACCATGAGGAGACATCAGACAAAGCCAAAATCAGAAACATGCTATTAAGAAATGAAAACTGGCCTGTATACCTAAAAAAAAAAAAAAAAAAAAAGCCAATGTAGTAAAAGCCAAGAAAGCCTGAGGAACTGCTTCAGATTGAAAGAGAGACTAAGATATATGACAACTGAATGAATATATGATCCAGATCACAGTTCTTTTGGAGGGAAAATATGGGGACAATTGACAAAACTGTACTATTGATGCTAGATTATATTAAAATATTGTATCAATGTTGAATTTCCTGAATGTGATATTTTGCAGTTATGTAAGAAA